GAGCACAACTAGGTGAGCACAACTAGGTGAGCACAACTAGGTGAGCACAACTAGGTGAGCACAACTAGGTGAGCACAACTAGGTGAGCACAACTAGGTGAGCACAACTAGGTGAGCACAACTAGCTAAGCACAACTAGGTGAGCACAACTAGGTGAACACAACTAGGTGAGCACAACTAGCTAAGCACAACTAGGTGAGCACAACTAGGTGAACACAACTAGGTGAACACAACTAGGTGAGCACAACTAGGTGAGCACAACTAGGTGAGCACAACTAGGTGAGCACAACTAGGTGAGCACAACTAGCTAAGCACAACTAGGTGAGCACAACTAGCTAAGCACAACTAGGTGAGCACAACTAGGTGAGCACAACTAGGTGAACACAACTGAAGCACAACTAGAGCACAACTAGAGCACAACTAGGTGAGCACAACTAGGTGAGCACAACTAGGTGAGCACAACTAGGTGAGCACAACTAGCTAAGCACAACTAGGTGAGCACAACTAGCTAAGCACAACTAGGTGAGCACAACTAGGTGAGCACAACTAGGTGAGCACAACTAGGTGAGCACAACTAGGTGAGCACAACTAGGTGAGCACAACTAGGTGAGCACAACTAGGTGAGCCACAACTAGGTGAGCAAACTAGGAGCACAACTAGGTGAGCACAACTAGCTAAGCACAACTAGGTGAGCACAACTAGGTGAACACAACTAGGTGAGCACAACTAGGTGAGCACAACTAGCTAAGCACAACTAGGTGAGCACAACTAGGTGAGCACAACTAGGTGAGCACAACTAGGTGAGCACAACTAGGTGAGCACAACTAGCTAAGCACAACTAGGTGAACACAACTAGGTGAACACAACTAGGTGAGCACAACTAGGTGAGCACAACTAGGTGAGCACAACTAGGTGAACACAACTAGGTGAGCACAACTAGGTGAGCACAACTAGGTGAGCACAACTAGCTAAGCACAACTAGGTGAGCACAACTAGGTGAGCACAACTAGGTGAGCACAACTAGGTGAGCACAACTAGCTAAGCACAACTAGGTGAGCACAACTAAGTGAACACAACTAACTAAGCACAACTAGGTGAGCACAACTAGGTGAGCACAACTAGCTAAGCACAACTAGGTGAACACAACTAGGTGAACACAACTGGCTAAGCACAACTAGGTGAACACAACTAGGTGAACACAACTAGGTGAGCACAACTAGCTAAGCACAACTAGGTGAGCACAACTAGGTGAGCACAACTAGCTAAGCACAACTAGGTGAGCACAACTAGGTGAGCACAACTAGCTAAGCACAACTAGGTGAGCACAACTAGGTGAGCACAACTAGCTAAGCACAACTAGGTGAGCACAACTAGGTGAACACAACTAGGTGAACACAACTAGGTGAGCACAACTAGGTGAGCACAACTAGCTAAGCACAACTAGGTGAGCACAACTAAGTGAACACAACTAGCTAAGCACAACTAGGTGAGCACAACTAGGTGAACACAACTAGGTGAACACAACTAGCTAAGCACAACTAGGTGAGCACAACTAGCTAAGCACAACTAGGTGAGCACAACTAGGTGAGCACAACTAGGTGAGCACAACTAGCTAAGCACAACTAGGTGAGCACAACTAGGTGAGCACAACTAGCTAAGCACAACTAGGTGAGCACAACTAGGTGAACACAACTAGGTGAACACAACTAGGTGAGCACAACTAGGTGAGCACAACTAGCTAAGCACAACTAGGTGAGCACAACTAAGTGAACACAACTAGCTAAGCACAACTAGGTGAGCACAACTAGGTGAACACAACTAGCTAAGCACAACTAGGTGAGCACAACTAGCTAAGCACAACTAGGTGAGCACAACTAGGTGAGCACAACTAGGTGAGCACAACTAGCTAAGCACAACTAGGTGAGCACAACTAGCTAAGCACAACTAGGTGAGCACAACTAGGTGAGCACAACTAACTGAACACAACTGAGCACAACTAGGTGAGCACAACTAGGTAAGCACAACTAGGTGAGCACAACTAGCTAAGCACAACTAGGTGAGCACAACTAGCTAAGCACAACTAGGTGAGCACAACTAGCTAAGCACAACTAGGTGAGCACAACTAGGTGAGCACAACTAGGTGAACACAACTAGGTGAGCACAACTAGGTGAGCACAACTAGGTAAGCACAACTAGGTGAGCACAACTAGCTAAGCACAACTAGGTGAGCACAACTAGGTGAACACAACTAGGTGAGCACAACTAGCTAAGCACAACTAGGTGAACACAACTAGGTGAGCACAACTAGCTAAGCACAACTAGGTGAACACAACTAGGTGAACACAACTAGGTGAGCACAACTAGCTAAGCACAACTAGGTGATCACAACTAGGTGAGCACAACTAGCTAAGCACAACTAGGTGAACACAACTAGGTGAGCACAACTAGCTAAGCACAACTAGGTGAACACAACTAGGTGAACACAACTAGGTGAGCACAACTAGCTAAGCACAACTAGGTGAACACAACTAGGTGAGCACAACTAGCTAAGCACAACTAGGTGAACACAACTAGGTGAGCACAACTAGCTAAGCACAACTAGGTGAACACAACTAGGTGAACACAACTAGCTAAGCACAACTAGGTGAACACAACTAGGTGAGCACAACTAGGTGAGCACAACTAGCTAAGCACGACTAGGTGAGCACAACTAGCTAAGCACAACTAGGTGAACACAACTAGGTGAGCACAACTAGCTAAGCACAACTAGGTGAACACAACTAGGTGAACACAACTAGCTAAGCACAACTAGGTGAACACAACTAGGTGAGCACAACTAGGTGAGCACAACTAGCTAAGCACAACTAGGTGAACACAACTAGGTGAGCACAACTAGCTAAGCACAACTAGGTGAACACAACTAGGTGAGCACAACTAGGTGAGCACAACTAGCTAAGCACGACTAGGTGAGCACAACTAGCTAAGCACAACTAGGTGAACACAACTAGGTGAGCACAACTAGGTGAGCACAACTAGCTAAGCACAACTAGCTAAGCACAACTAGGTGAACACAACTAGGTGAACACAACTAGGTGAACACAACTAGGTGAGCACAACTAGGTGAGCACAACTAGTTAAGCACAACTTGGTGAGCACAACTAGGTGAACACAACTAGGTGAGCACAACTAGGTGAGCACAACTAGCTAAGCACAACTAGGTGAACACAACTAGGTGAGCACAACTAGGTGAGCACAACTAGCTAAGCACAACTAGGTGAACACAACTAGGTGAACACAACTAGGTGAGCACAACTAGCTAAGCACAACTAGGTGAACACAACTAGGTGAGCAGAACTAGGTGAGCACAACTAGCTAAGCACAACTAGGTGAACACAACTAGGTGAACACAACTAGGTGAACACAACTAGGTGAACACAACTAGCTAAGCACAACTAGGTGAACACAACTAGGTGAACACAACTAGGTGAACACAACTAGCTAAGCACAACTAGGTGAACACAACTAGGTGAGCACAACTAGGTGAGCACAACTAGGTGAGATAACACACATACTAGACAGTAATCACCGTGAGAGCCGAAGGGTCGTTAGTGGCTCACCTAAGTGTAACCAACAGTGGGTGCTGATAGTCCAGCCCCGTCCGCCTAATGCACCCCAACGTCAAGAAACTTTCGTACTACAGTGCCCTTATCCTAACCTACCAGAGGACCCAAAACAGAAAACGGGAAAATATGTCAATTTCGAGATCCTACGACAATCTTTGGCCCCTTGGTTGCCTATACGTCAAAATGCGACGTACTATTGGGAAGACGGGTTGTATAGTGAGCCGGTGGGTGGCGACTACCCAACCAGTCCTCTTAAAAAGAACGTCGCTTTTGGCCTTTTTGCCCGTACGTCCGAATATGGACGTAATGTGAAAGTGAAGGCGGTAGGCCCACCAATAAGAAGGTTGTGTCAGGTAGGGAGGAGAAGATGTAATTCAACACGCACCCTGGCGGCGGCGTGGAGGGATTCGTGACTCGTTATCTTGAGGTTATCTTGAGATGATTTCGGGGCTTTTTAGTGTCCCCGCGGCCCGGTCCTCGACCAGGCCTCCACCCCCAGGAAGCAGCCCGTGACAGCTGACTAACACCCAGGTACCTATTTTACTGCTAGGTAACAGGGGCATAGGGTGAAAGAAACTCTGCCCATTGTTTCTCGCCGGCGCCTGGGATCGAACCCAGGACCACAGGATCACAAGTCCAGCGTGCTGTCCGCTCGGCCGACCGGCTCCCACGACTCCCTCCCACTCCCAAAAATTAGACCGGCTCGTATTTGGTTTATTGGGCTATCTGTAGATAGCCATATATTAGTAGTCTGGCGGCTACTATAATATGCGGCACAATGGCCTATAGATGGCGTGCCCCCCTCCCCTGGGGCCACATTCACGAAAGCACTTACGCAAACACTTACGAACGTGTACATCTTTTCTCAATCTTTGGCGGCTTTGTTTACAATTATTAAACAGTTAATGAGCTCCGAAGCACCAGGAGGCTGTTTATAACAATAACAACAGTTGAATGGCAAGTTTTCATCCTTGTAAACTGTTTAATAAATGTAACCAAAGCCGTCAAAGATTGAGGGAAGTTGTACACGTTCGTAAGTGCTTGCGTAAGTGCTTTCGTGAATCTGGCCCCTGGACTACAGGACTAGAGGATGGCACATCAAGGTGTCATCTGAGACTTGCGTCTCTCTCTCTCCAACTTTGTGGCCTAAGGAAATGAGGAGCAATGCAGAGCTGAGGATACTCAGACTAGAGAGAAGAAGCAAGATAGGAGGACGCAAGGATATACGGACTAGAGAAGCAAGGTAGAAGGACGCAAGGATACACGGACTGGAGAGAAGCAAGGTAGGAGGACGCAAGGATACACGGACTGGAGAGAAGCAAGGTAGAAGGACGCAAGGATACACGTACTAGAGAAGAGAAGCAAGATAGTAGGACGCATGGATACACGGACTAGAGAGGAGAAGCAAGGTAGGAGGACGCAAGGATACACGGACTAGAGCGAACCAAGGTAGTAGAACGCAAGGATACACGGACTAGAGAGGAGAAGCAAGGTAGGAGGACGCAAGGATACACGGACTAGAGCGAACCAAGGTAGTAGAACGCAAGGATACACGGACTAGAGAGGAGAAGCAAGGTAGGAGGACGCAAGGATACACGGACTAGAGAGGAGAAGCAAGATAGTAGGACGCAAGGATACACGGACTAGAGCGAACCAAGGTAGTAGAACGCAAGGATACACGGACTAGAGAGGAGAAGCAAGGTAGGAGGACGCAAGGATACACGGACTAGAGAAGAGAAGCAAGGTAGGAGAACGCAAGGATACACGGACTAGAGAGGAGAAGCAAGGTAGGAGGACGCAAGGATACACGGACTAGAGAAGAGAAGCAAGGTTGCAGGACGCAAGGATACACGGACTAGAGAAGAGAAGCAAGGTAGGAGGACGCAAGGATACACGGACTAGAGAAGAGAAGCAAGGTTGCAGGACGCAAGGATGAAGCTATTATCGTAGAGGCAGATGTGGAGAGGGAACACGCAGGGTCCCAGCAGGTGTGCTGGGCTATATACAGGGACACACAGGTTCCCAGCAGGTGTGGTGGGCTATATACAGAGACACACAGGGTGCCAGCAGGTGTGGTGGGCTATATACAGGGACACACAGGGTCCCAGCAGGTGTGCTGGGCTATATACAGGGACACACAGGGTGCCAGCAGGTGTGGTGGGCTATATACAGGGACACACAGGGTCCCAGCAGGTGTGCTGGGCTATATACAGGGACACACAGGGTGCCAGCAGGTGTGGTGGGCTATATACAGGGACACACAGGGTCCCAGCAGGTGTGCTGGGCTATATACAGGGACACACAGGTTCCCAGCAGGTGTGGTGGGCTATATACAGGGACACACAGGGTCCCAGCAGGTGTGGTGGGCTATATACAGGGACACACAGGGTCCCAGCAGGTGTGCTGGGCTATATCCAGGGACACACAGGTTCCCAGCAGGTGTGCTGGGCTATATACAGGGACACACAGGGTGCCAGCAGGTGTGGTGGGCTATATACAGGGACACACAGGGTCCCAGCAGGTGTGCTGGGCTATATACAGGGACACACAGGGTCCCAGCAGGTGTGGTGGGCTATATACAGGGACACACAGGTTCCCAGCAGGTGTGCTGGGCTATATACAGGGACACACATGCACCAGCAGGTGTGGTGGGCTATATACAGGGCCACACCTGCACCAGCACAAGTAGGAATCAGAATAAGTGTTGAAGAAAGAGAGTCGTTACTCTCTTTCTTCAAAGAGTTGAGAAAGAGTTCTTCAAAGAGAAGAAAGAGTTCATACAGATGTGAGAACACTGTACGAAACATAGAGAAAATAATCAATAACAGTGAAGCGAAATTAGCAGAAAGGGGAGAGGGAGGGAATTATCAGGGGGAAAGCGCCAAGCCATTACGACTATATAGCACTTTCGGAAGGGTGCCAACAGAGTGCAGAAACAGTGCCAACAGAGTGCAGAAACAGTGCCAACAGAGTGCAGAAACAGTGCCAACAGAGTGCAGAAACAGTGCCAACAGAGTGCAGAAACAGTGCCAACAGAGGGCAGAAACAGTGCCAACAGAGGGCAGAAACAGTGCCAACAGAGGGCAGAAACAGTGCCAACAGAGGGCAGAAACAGTGCCAACAGAGGGCAGAAACAGTGCCAACAGAGTGCAGAAACAGTGCCAACAGAGGGCAGAAACAGTGCCAACAGAGGGCAGAAACAGTGCCAACAGAGGGCAGAAACAGTGCCAACAGAGGGCAGAAACAGTGCCAACAGAGGGCAGAAACAGTGCCAACAGAGTGCAGAAACAGTGCCAACAGAGGGCAGAAACAGTGCCAACAGAGTGCAGAAACAGTGCTAACAGAGTGCAGAAACAGTGCCAACAGAGTGCAGAAACAGTGCCAACAGAGTGCAGAAACAGTGCCAACAGAGTGCAGAAACAGTGCTAACAGAGTGCAGAAACAGTGCTAACAGAGTGCAGAAACAGTGCCAACAGAGTGCAGAAACAGTGCCAACAGAGTGCAGAAACAGTGCCAACAGAGCGCAGAAACAGTGCTAACAGAGTGCAGAAACAGTGCTAACAGAGTGCAGAAACAGTGCCAACAGAGTGCAGAAACAGTGCCAACAGAGTGCAGAAACAGTGCCAACAGAGTGCAGAAACAGTGCCAACAGAGTGCAGAAACAGTGCCAACAGAGTGCAGAAACAGTGCCAACAGAGTGCAGAAACAGTGCCAACAGAGTGCAGAAACAGTGCCAACAGAATGCAGAAACAGTGCCAACAGAGTGCAGAAACAGTGCCAACAGAGTGCAGAAACAGTGCCAACAGAGTGCAGAAACAGTGCCAACAGAGTGCAGAAACAGTGCCAACAGAGTGCAGAAGCAGTGCCAACAGAGTGCATAAACAGTGCCAACAGAGTGCAGAAACAGTGCCAACAGAGGGCAGAAACAGTGCCAACAGAGTGCAGAAACAGTGCCAACAGAGGGCAGAAACAGTGCCAACAGAGGGCAGAAACAGTGCCAACAAAGTGCAGAAACAGTGCCAACAGAGTGCAGAAACAGTGCCAACAGTGCAGAAACAGTGTCAACAGTGCAGAAACAGTGCTAACAGAGTGCAGAAACAGTGCCAACAGAGGGCAGAAACAGTGCCAACAGAGGGCAGAAACAGTGCCAACAGAGTGCAGAAACAGTGCCAACAGAGGGCAGAAACAGTGAAAGAAAGCTATCCAGTTTTCTCTTAAAAACGTCCACGGTTGTATCGGTAACACTGTGTTTCCCATGGTTATTATACTCCTTGGGAGGGTGTTGAGCAACCGAAATATTTTGTGTTTATCTGATACGAATGCTTCAGTCTCTGCTCGATTTCTTCTATCTCCCTGTTTAAATTATTCCTTCTTTGTACGGATAAGTCGTGTTTGCTTAAGTTTTTCCATTATTTTTTTTATAGTGTCGTCCTATTTCTGGCTTTCCCGCAAAGGAATATGTTTCAGACAGATTTTATATGCTTCGGAAGTCAGTTGTTCTATTCCTTGTGTGGGGTTTCTATTAGAACAGTTTCCCACTGAATGTTTTTAAATTCCCTGTTTATTTTTTCCCAGTCTATCCTTTTATTATAAAATTTAACTTATTGAATAACCCCCTCTCGTTTGATCATTGTTTTAGGCCTGTTATTGTTGGTAGTTTGCACTTCAATGAGCTTGTGATCTGAGTATGTGGTATCTGAGATCGTAATGTCCCTGATTATGTCTTCATTGTTTGTGAAGATCAGATCAAGAATATTTTTGTTCCTAGTTGTCTCTGTTATCTGCTGGTTGAGTGAAAATTTTGTCGCAGAATCTAAGTAGTTCTTTAATCTGTGGTTGGTTAAGTCCAGAGAGATTTCCTGGTATAATATTCACGGCAGTCTCCGTGGTGTAGTGGTAAGACACTCGCCTGGCGTTCCGCGAGCGCTATGTCATGGGTTCGTATCCTGGCCGGGGAGGATTTACTGGGCGCAATTCCTTAACTGTAGCCTCTGTTTAACGCAACAGTAAAATGTGTACTTGGATGAAAAAACGATTCTTCGCGGCAGGGGATCGTATTCCAGGGACCATAGGATTAAGAACTTGCCCGAAACGCTACGCGTACTAGTGGCTCTACAACCATGTAACAACTCTTGTATATATCTCAAAAAAAAAAAAAAAAAAAAATATTACTGTTTGCTATTCTCTATCTTAGACTATCCAGTTCAAGAGAGAACTGGATAAGCACCTCCAAAGGATACCTGATCAACCAGGCTGTGACTCATACGTCAGGCTGCGAGCAGCCGCGTCTAACAGCCTGGTTGATCAGTCCAGCAACCAGGAGGCCTGGTCGACGACCGGGCCGCGGGGACACTAAGCCCCGGAAGCACCTCAAGGTAGCCAAGGTAGGTAGGCAGGTTGAAGTCTCCTAGGAAGATAATATCAGGTATTGGGTTTTCCAGTTTATCAAAACTATTCTCTATTTTGTTGACCTGTTCTGTGAATTCCTCAGCCTCTGGTGGATTGAATATTAGAATAATAACGAAGTTTATTTTCTCTATATTTACTCGCAGTACCTCTACCACCTCATTTGTAGAGTTAAGGAGCTCCGAGCAAACAAGGTTTTCCCCTAGTATACAAACCTACTCCTCCATGTGACCTATTTACCCTATCACACCTGTATAGATTATATCCTGGTATCCATATCTCACTGTCCAAGAATTCTCCTGCTTGGGGCTTCTGTGAAAGCTCCAAATACTGCATTTGACTCCGAGAGGAGACCATTTATGAACGGTACATTGTTTTTGGCTCTTGTTTTTAGTCCTTGAATGTAGGCAACGATGATTGAGGTTTCTCTGTTTAGGGTAATTTAGGATTGGGAGATTTTTCTGTCTGGTCCAGAATGGGTGGCATTTCATGTTTGTTCTGACCAGTACTGATTGTTGCAGGGGGTGTCATTGCCTGCTATAATTGTAGCTCTGTTGTGGGGTGTGTAATTGTATCTGTGATTGTGGTATTCAAGTGTGTGTCTTTCGACCAGTTCCATACTCTGTCTCTCTGTTCCACCTTTTGAAACCTCTTTCGTCTGGGTATAAACAATGATTTGACTTTCCTCCAAAGCCATTTTCTTGTTTGCCGCTCTTTAGGTAGCATTCTGTGCCTTTCACGTGAAAGTATGGGCAGGTGAGGTTATAGCATTTTCTGTCCTCGAGTGAGATTTCGCACATGTCAGGATGGAAAACCTGCATGTTGATCCAAAGCATATTTAGACATTTTCTGGAAGGATGGTAACTGCATTCTAATCCGTTTCTATTTCCCAAATATCTATGTCTGCAAATGCCCTTTACATAGAATTTGCAGATAACTGTCTTTCTGGTCTGTCTCTTTTTCATGTCTGTCTGTTGTAATGTCTGCAGCTGTGGAACTGTTTGTGCTGTCTGTTACACTGTCTCCTCTACTGTCATCCATATTCGAGTATACAGAATAAGAGTTTACAACTGCTTGAATGTCTATATCAGTTTCCTCCTTGTCTACCGCCTCGGCTCCTGTTCCCTTATTATTTGTTTCCCACTCTTGCAGGATGGCTGGCAGGCTGGCTTTCAATGAATGACATTTTCTGGTCATGAATCATGGTATCTAGAATTTGTTTTAATATATTCGAAGTTGGCAAGTCATCGCTGCATACCCAGAGTAAATGTCCAGCTTTCAGACCGGTGGCGCTGCTCACCTCTGTACAAGCCGAGTGAAGGTTATTCTTGCATATCTTGAGGTTATCTTGAGATGATTTCGGGGCTTTTTAGTGTTCCTCGCGGCCCGGTCCTCTTATCTTGAGTTATCTTGAGATGATTTCGGGGCTTTTTAGTGTCCCCGCGGCCCGGTCCTCGACCAGGCCTCCACCCCCCAGGAAGCAGCCCGTGACAGCTGACTAACACCCAGGTACCTATTTTACTGCTAGGTAACAGGGGCATAGGGTGAAGGAAACTCTGCCCATTGTTTCTCGCCGGCGCCTGGGACCGAACCCAGGACCACAGGATCACAAGTCCAGCGTGCTGTCCGCTAGGCCGACCGGCCCTATATATAACATGTGATCCCTGTTCTTTTGATCCTTTAAGTTCTTGTTGCAGTGATCACACATTCGTTTGTTTACGGCTATTTTGTCTTGTTTACTGTTGTTTGTCCTGTTGGAAGGGAGCTCTCCAACAGTTACCAAAGTGTGCAATGTGCTTCACAACTGAAGCACTGTACCACACTGTAGGACACAACTGAAGCACTATATCTTGTGCTTCAGTTGTGCCACACTGTAGGACACAACTGAAGCACTGTACTACACTGTAGGACACAACTGAAGCACTATATCACACTGTAGGACACAACTGAAGCACTATACCACACTGTAGGACACAACTGAAGCACTATACCCCACTGTAGGACACAACTGAAGCACTATATCACACTGTAGGACACAACTGAAGCACTATACCACACTGTAGGACACAACTGAAGCACTATACCACACTGTAGGACACAACTGAAGCACTATACCACACTGTAGGACACAACTGAAGCACTATACCACACTGTAGGACACAACTGAAGCACTATACCACACTGAAGGACACAACTGAAGCTCTATACCACACTGAAGGACACAACTGAAGCACTATATCACACTGTAGGACACAACTGAAGCACTATATCACACTGTAGGACACAACTGAAGCACTATACCACACTGTAGGACACAACTGAAGCACTATACCACACTGTAGGACACAACTGAAGCACTATATCACAATGTAGGACACAACTGAAGCACTATACTACACTGTAAGACACAACTGAAGCACTATACCCCACTGTAGGACACAACTGAAGCACTATACCACACTGTAGGACACAACTGAAGCACTATACCACACTGTAAGACACAACTGAAGCACTATACCCCACTGTAGGACACAACTGAAGCACTATACCACACTGTAGGACACAACTGAAGCACTATACCCCACTGTAGGACACAACTGAAGCACTATACCTTGTGCTTCAGTTGTGCCACACTGTAGGACACAACTGAAGCACTATACTATACTGAAGGACACAACTGAAGCACTATACCACACAGTAGGACACAACTGAAGCACTATACCACACTGTAGGACACAACTGAAGCACTATATCACACAGTAGGACACAACTGAAGCACTATACCTTGTGCTTCAGTTGTGCCACACTGTAGGACACAACTGAAGCACTATACCACACTGAAGGACACAACTGAAGCACTATACCACACTGAAGGACACAACTGAAGCACTATATCACACTGTAGGACACAACTGAAGCACTATACTTCACTGTTGGACACAACTGAAGCACTATACTACACTGTAGGACACAACTGAAGCACTATACCACACTGTAGGGCACAACTGAAGCACTGTACCACACTGTAGGACACAACTGAAGCACTATACTTCACTGTTGGACACAACTGAAGCACTATACTACACTGTAGGACACAACTGAAGCACTATACCATACTGTAGGACACAACTGAAGCACTATACCACACTGTAGGACACAACTGAAGCACTATACCGCACTGTAGGACACAACTGAAGCACTATACCTCACTGTAGGACACAACTGAAGCACTATACCACACTGTAGGACACAACTGAAGCACTATACCACACTGTAGGACACAACTGAAGCACTATACCACACTGTAGGACACAACTGAAGCACTATACCTCACTGTTGGACACAACTGAAGCACTATACCACACTGTAGGACACAACTGAAGCACTATACCTCACTGTAGGACACAACTGAAGCACTATACCACACTGTTGGACACAACTGAAGCATTATACCGCACTGTAGGACACAACTGAAGCACTATACCGCACTGTAGGACACAACTGACGCACTATACCGCACTGTAGGACACAACTGAAGCACTATACCTCACTGTAGGACACAACTGAAGCACTATACCACACTGTTGGACACAACTGAAGCACTATACCACACTGTAGGACACAACTGAAGCACTATACCACACTGTAGGACACAACTGAAGCACTATACCTCACTGTTGGACACAACTGAAGCACTATACCACACTGTAGGACACAACTGAAGCACTATACCTCACTGTAGGACACAACTGAAGCACTATACCACACTGTTGGACACAACTGAAGCACTATACCGCACTGTAGGACACAAC